AGAGCATGGGTTCCCAAAGGGGGGGGGCATGCAGAAATTCCAAGGGGGGAGTGAGGTGACCCAGACCCTTCCCCCCCGCCATCAAGTTTTGCTGCCTCAGCTCAGTCAGTTCCTTTTTTTTTTTTTGCTCAACATGTTTGCTTTTTGTTTGGGGGGTGGGTGTGTGTGTGTGTGTGTGTGTGTGAGGGTTTTTCAAAAATCAGAAAGGGGGCATGATGCCAAAAAGTTTGGGAACCACTGATCTAGAAGAAAAGCACTCATACTCATAGCTGCCTCCCAGGCAGCAGGGCTAAGGTGTTAGGGGAATGAAGGCACTCCCAGAACTCTGAGCCCTATAGCTCGTGCAAGGCTGGCATGGGTGTGTCTAGTAACAGTGGTGCAATGCTGGCAATGTTTGGTGCTTTTCTTAAGGCTTTTTTTGCCCAGTGAGTCACGAGGAAGCCAGGAGCAGAACTGAGAAATGTCTGACTCCCAGCCCCAGGCTTAGTCCTGTGCTGCCTCTAGGACCCTCATTTGCAGAATTTGTTGAGAAGGTCAATGATTATCTAGGCGAGAAATTTAAACTAATCTCTCCCTCCCTGGGGTGAGCCCTGTGGCAGGAATGTATGTTCCCTGAGCAAGTGATCCATGAATGTATGCATCAATAGTTGGGGCAAAAAGGGGCTCATTCCAGTTACCACTTCCCACTCTGACTATTGCAAGCAGTTTCTTCGACCTTAACTGTGAGCCTGTACTACACAACATATATTTTCCCACACTGCAAGTCAGGATGGAAACTCTCTCAAGCATAAAAATGTACTTTAAAGTGATGGTAGAAGATTCTCCAGAGAGAACAGGGTCAAAAATGTGCTCAAACCCCCAAAACTTTGCCACAGATTCCACAATCTCCGAATATGCCTCTTATTTTGTTTTTGCAGCTCAGTGCTTCGAGGAAGAGAAGTCAAGTCACACGTGCCATAAAAATCGAGCATCTGTGTTGGGGAGAAGAAATGCAGCAGCCAGAAGTGCCGCATCAGTACTGAGCAGCTGACAGCTGTGTAGCAGAATGAGAGAGAGGTGTTGACCTGGGCAGCCCTGCACAATCCAGATTTAGGGAGAATCCCAAAAGTGATTGAATTTACCTGGTCCAGAATGTGGGAGTTCGGGATTTCATATCTCAGCCTGTGAGCAACAGAAACATTAGATTCAGGAGAATCAAACTTGGTGCATGGAGTCCTTACAATCTCAGTGCCAAGAGCTCTCAGTGTATCAACCTGTAAGTCATAAAGCAGACACAATAAAGATGACTTTCTTCACTGCTGGTAATCTGAACCCTTAGAGTCATATTAGAGTTAAAAGCCAAGACTGGGCTTTGCATTCATGAGACATTTAACATTTTGAGTGTTTTAAAGATACAATGTCTAATTTTCAGTATCGCTATTTTTTTTACATCATTCTGGTGCATAGCCTTTAAATTGGTCAGAAATATCTCCTGAAAATACTCACACATACACCATGGACTTGGCAGCCAGAGTATAGGTAGAGCAAACAGGCCTTAAGCACAGGAACAGAGTACCCAAGAATGAGTGTTTATTGACAGAGGGACATTGTTGTCTAGTGGTGAGAACAGGGGAGTTAGGTAGTAGAGTTTCTGATAATTTGTTGTATGGGTTATTACAGCTGGACTGAGGAGGTGGTGTTTGATCAGGGATGCCATTTAGGAGGGCTAAGGGACAGTAGCTCCCTCATGCTTAAGGTCTGTTTAAAGCAGGGGTGGGGCTAAGGGACAGTAGCTCCCTCCTCCCCCGAGTTTGAATCCCTTGATTTCATGCTTAAGGTCTGTTTAAAGCAGGGGTTCTCAACCTTTTTTGGTCCCCGTAACTCCTTGGCTTTTAGTAAACCTTCCCGTACCCCCTATTCAATATGAAAGGAAATAAATTCTAGACTCTAGAATCCACAACTTTTTTCACTAACATTATTACTTTTGGAGTATTTCAATTAGGATAATTTAGTTATTTACCAAATATTCTCCATACCCCGTTGACAAGCTTCTCATACCCCCTGGGGTACGCATACCCCAGGTTGGGAACCCATGGTTTGAAGCCCATGCCCTGACTACTCCAGAGGCAGTTCTTAAATGCAACAGTTCTGGCTGTTTGCAGCTTTGTCTTTGGGGTAGGGAGTTTGATATAAAAAGAGGAAGGCAGGGTGATTAAGAATAACAAAAGGCTGGACATTCCAGTAATTGAAGGATCTGTTAGATCATCATTAAAACATTGCCGGGTACTCCACTTAAAAGATAGGTGGGGGAAGTGTTGTGCTGCAGGGATCTGCATTTAGATCACTGCTGTTAAACTTCTCATAAATGTTCTTGAAAAAGGGGTAAACAGTGACTACTCCAAAGCTGAATGCAAAGAGTTACAAAAGGGATCTCACAAAACTGGATGACTGGGCAACACAAAGGCAGATGGAATTCAGTGCTGATTAAGTGCAAAGTAATGCGGGGGGAGGGAGAGATATAATCCTGACTATAAATACAAAAACGGGGTCTAAAACAGCTGTTACCACTCAAGAAAGAGATCTTCTGGATAGCTCCTTGAAAACATCTGCTCAATGTGCAGTGTCAGTCTAAAAACTAAAAAGCTAACAGAATATTGGGAATCATTAGAAAAGGAATAGATAATAAGACAGAAAATATATTGTCTCTATATAAAGTCATGGTATGCTTACATCTTGAATACTGTATCAAGATCTGGTCACTCCATCTAAAAAAAGATATATTGAATTTGGAAAAGATACAGAAAGGGCAACAGAAACGATTAAGGGTAAGGAGCAGCTCCCATATGAGGAAAGAGTAACAATACTGGAACTTTTCATCTTGGAAAAAATGATTAAAGGATATGTTAGAAGTCTAGAAAATCATGAATGGTGTGGAAAAATAGAATAAAGAAATGTTATTCATTCCTTCACTAACATAACACAAGAAAAACTTAAACAACAAATAGTCTTGTAGCACTTCAAAGACTAACAGAACATGTAGATGGTATCATGAGTTTTTGTGGGCACAACCAACTTCTTCAGATGACCCGAGTGTGAAGACCGGTCATCTGAAGAAGTTGGTTGTGCCCACAAAAACTCATGATACCATCTACATGTTCTGTTAGTCTTTGAAGTGCTACAAGACTATTTGTTGTTTAAGTTTTTCCTCTTACAGACTAACTCAGCTACCCCTCTGAAGCTTTAACATACAAGAAAATGACCCAATTAAATTTATAGGCAGCAGATGTAAAACAAAAAAAAAATATTTTTTCACAGTTAACTTATGGAATTTTTTGCTAGGAGATGGTGGAAAAGTCCAAACTATAACAGGGCTTCAATTAGAATAAAATCTGTTCAAGGAGAACAGGTCCATCAATGGATACTACCCAGAATGGGCAGGAAGCCTGAAGCTGGGAATGGGCAATGGGATGGATCATGATAATTACCTCTTCTGTTTATTCCTCCAAATGCACCTGGCATTGGCCACTGTTGGAAGACAGGATCCTGGGCTAGAAGAACCTTTAGTCTGACCCAGGATGGCCATTCTGATGTTCTTATATAGAACTGAAACGTATCTGCTCCTTGCTGTAACCCATTAGTTCCCACTTCCCTTCCAGAGCTAAGAGAGCGCCCAGGAGTCCTTACAGGGTCTGTCTCTCTCCTCACAGTTAGTAACAAAGTAAAAATATACATTAACTTTTGAAGACTAACTTGTGTCCCTTAAGTAACTTGCCACAAGATGTCAGAATATGTTAGTGTTAGCGCTGAGTGGGTCTAATATTTATTTAATTTTCTTTCTTTTATATAGGAAGTAGATACAGTGCTCCTGCTAACTGCTAAGTTGTCTGCCAAAAAAGCAGTTTTTTCCAGTGCCTTAGTAGCTAGGGCAGGTGGAGGATGGAAGGAATTTCCCCCCCTCCCCCATTGGTGCTTGGCCTGTACGGAGCATGCTCAGCAACACTGCTGAAACCGCTGTCTTCAGTGTGCCTCCTCATGCTCCCCCGGCCCCCCATCATGGCATGCACAAGTCGCCCCTTCCCCCCCAATCTGAAATGGTTCCCCTGTGTTTGATCCAGATTACATTTAGGTTAGAGTCAAGGTTTGAGCCAAATCAGGGCTAAGATTTAGGTCTGAATTCAATGATGCCAAAGTTTTGAGAACTGTTGTTGTGAAATTTTTGCCCCAAATGGAGGAAATATCACAAGATCATGTGACATTTTGGTCATCTTGATGGGGTTTCTACCATCTTGAGAAATCCGGTTAACACTCCTATGAGGTAATGAAATATCTTCAGTTCACATAGAAGGAAATGGAGGCAGCGGGAGGTTAAGTGATTGGTCAGAAGTCATGCAAGAAGTTAGCCACAGAACTGGAAATAGAACCAAGGAGCCCTGCATACCTTTCCTTTGCTCTAACCATCATCACACGCTCTCAAACACACAAAACTGCATCCTCTCTGCACAGGAACGTAACACCTATGGCTAATACATTGCATCAGCTGCATAGCAGATGCCAGCTAATCAGTCACATTATCGCTGCTTGCTTCATCATCAAGAGAACTCTTTTTAATAACAACAAAAATACATCATTGCTTGTCATTAGAAGGAGTGTTCCCCATATAGGAAAGGGTTTGCTAATTCTCAAAAGAGAGAACTTTCCTTCTTGCTAGGATTTTAGTGTAACACTACAAAGGGTTCTGACCTTTTCAATGCTCATTTTCTCTGGCATCACAATGATGCAGTGGTAGCCTTTCACTGCAGCAACCAGGGCCAGCCCGATGCCTAGGCAGTGGGGGAGGAAAGGGAATTAGTCAATGACAGCACTTGGCAAGGTCAACTGACATTCATATCCTCCTGTGCTTCTTCTGTTAATCTGTCTCGTTGGTAACTGTAGCTCATGGATTTGCACTTATAACCTAGATCGCGTCTTAGACTTTTTGCATGCGGACAATCCTAGGGTAGGAGGATGTTCTGATTTAAGCGCTTACTTAAAGTGAAGGGACTGGAAAGACTCAGAAGAATTTTTCTGCAGTCTTCTGTTTTCCCACGTGTGTCGTTTTTACAATATGGGAAAGATGTAATTATCCTTCGTTGCCTGCTCTCCGCAGAGCTGCTTCACACCCCCCACCCCCAACAGTCTAACTCGTGAGACAAAACTGCACACGCGCCAGCCTCACTCCCTGGCTAGTTGCCCAAGCGTATCTGTGCTCCAGTTTCACTCTGAATGATTGACACAGCCAGCTGGATGGGGATGGGAAATGAGGCTTTAGACTGTGAATTGTTACAAGAGGATGGGCAGGACATTCGTGAAACACTCTGCAAGACTCACAGACCACCATGCAGACCCAGACCAGTGTTGGAGGGGGTGTGGAATCACACACACAACCTCTAGGCAAGTGCAGGATGTAGAATTCCCTTCTGAGCTGTGGCATCTACACCATTGTGTGGGGTGCAGATGAATCCCCTCCCCCAAAATATACTGGTCTTGTTTGGGCTGCTGGTGCAAGGAGGTGAGGGGAGATGGACCCGTAGCCTTAGCTGCTTGGGAGCAGAGCACACCCTGACACAAAGAAGATAGATGCTGCATGGCCAGTTGTGCCTGCTTCTTGTGCAAGCTACACAATGGGAGAAAGCTTCTACACCTTCGCTCCCAACCATGGACTGGCCCTAGCTTGTTCCTAGCCAGGTGAGGCTACATATGGCAGATGTGGGAGAAACAAGATATATTTGTAGGCTTGGCAGAATTCAATTTTCATTTGCTATACCATTTTGATGGATCATATCAATGTTTATTTTTAAGCATTCAGAAACATTTTATGGGAGAAGGTAAGAGAATGGTTTACATCTGTAGACACTGAGGGCACGTCAAGATTATGTTTTAATTTCAAAAGAGGATAGGCAAATTCCATGGGAATTTGCATATCTTCTTCGATTGTTTTTTCGAAAGTTGGTCTTTTGAAAGTGAAAGTAGTCTGGACGTGGGGGGGTTTTGGGAAAAAAACCCTATTTCGAAAAACCGCGTAAACCTCCTTTTTTTTAGGAAGAGCGATTTTTCAAAAAAGGGTTTTTTTTCCCCAAAAACCCCTGCGTCCAGACTACTTTCACTTTCGAAAGACCCACTTTTGAAATTAGAACATAGTCTAGACGTGCCCTGAGATTAAAAAAGTTAAACCTTTATAGCTGTTCACACACAAACTGTCAACATCACATGTCAAAATATACAATGTAAAGGGCTCTCAAACATCAAATCCCACCGGCTTTTACTATTCATTTGCTCGCCCCATTTGTAACAAGCCTAATTCAAAAGTCCAAATCACTGGATTTTGCCTATAATTAGACCTCAAGCAGCATTTTTCTTACTTTGTCTACCTGCAAATTTTGATTATAACAATGGGAATATTTTTCCATTGGTCTGTGAGAGTGCATTGAATCAATATTTACTGGCATTTCTAATCCTGCCAAGCCTATTTATTTGATGGGGGAATTCAGGGAAATTCCCCTGTGAAAACCAGCCCTAACTATTCAATAACCTTGAAGCCAGGAAATGTGCTGTACATGTGCCAGCTCCTCTAAGACCTTTTTGTTAATGCCTTATGGTTAGCTAGCTACCCAGGGTTACCACACACTAGGGCTATGTCTAGACTGGCATGATTTTCCGGAAATGCTTTTAATGGAAAAGTTTTCCGTTAAAAGCATTTTTGGAACAGAGCATCTAGATTGGCATGGACGCTTTTCCGCAAAAGCACTTTTTGCGGAAAAGCGTCTGTAGCCAATCTAGACGCACTTTTCCACAAAAAAGCCCTGACTGCCATTTTCGCGATCGGTGCTTTTTTGCAGAAAATAAATCTCTGCTGTCTACACTGGCCCTTTTGCGCAAAAGTTTTTTGGAAAAAGACTTTTGCCCGAACAGGAGCAGCACGGTATTTCCGCAAAAGCACTGACAATCTTACATGAGATCGTCAGTGCTTTTGCGGAAATTCAAGCGGCCAGTGTAGACAGCCTGAATGGGAGCAGCGTAGTATTTCCGCAAAAAGCACTGATTTCTTACAGTAGGAATTCAGTGCTTTTGCGGAAATTCAAGCGGCCAGTGTAGACAGCTGGCAAGTTTTTCCGGAAAAGTGGCTGATTTTCCAGAAAAACTGGCCAGTCTAGACACAGCCTAGTTCTGCAGCTTTGTCGCCTTGGAGTAGTTTTAGGAATTTCAGCATTAAATCACCTCTGAGTTCTTACTTCCTCTGGTGTGTTGCAACAACTAGGCACAGTTTGGGGGCAGGTGAGCTGAGGACAGAGACAGTTATAAGGACAGAGGCTAATCTCCAGACTGAGGCACATAATGTAGTGCACAGGTGTGCGACTGTTCATCAGACCGGGGGTTAATTTTCTCTCTCATGCTTTCCCTGCACACATGAATACAGCAGCAACAGATGGGGACAATTGGCAGCAGAAAAGGGAAAACTGCATTTACCAGAAATGGTTTAGCAAGCTTGACTGTCCCTCTTCATTGTATCTTCATTGTAGTTGGAGCTGAAAGGCGCCATAAACCTCCATTCTCCTCAGTAATATCAGGTGATCTATTCCATAATCACGCTGTCCAAATGCAGGGCTACGAATCCAGTTCCTACCTGTGTTTCCTGATGTTGGCTCAATGAGTGTGTCTCCAGGTTTTATGATCCCTGCTTTTTCAGCATCCTCCACCATCCTGAGGGCAATTCGATCCTTCACACTCCCTCCAGCATTGAAGTACTCGCATTTTGCCACTAGAATTTGAAGGGAAGTCCCCATTACAAACAAGCCCACACCAAGCTCTGCTATCAAACACACTAAAACTGTCACTACAGAAGGAGAGAAGCACGTCAGTTCTTCACTGCTTCTCACCATTCGCCACCCAACAAGAGCTCAAAAAGCATGTCATTGTAATTAACCATTAGGAAACCTCTAAACACATCATTAGCTGCAGCATGGATCTACAGCCCAAGGGCCAGGTACATAATTTTATTTTACATTTTAATAGCATTTTTATTCAGTGAAATTCAGGTAGATAAATGATAAGTACTACTAATAAGTGCCACATTTCTAAGTCTGTTTCAAGAGTTACCAGTCCTTCCATTTCTGGACACACGATGATTGCTAGGTTGGGTCACACACTCCTAAAGTGGACACTTCCCATCCAACGATGGCCATTATCAGAGATGGGAGAGCTGAGTGCATGGCTCATTGGCCTCTTCTGGTGCAGATATTCCTATGTCCTTAGAGGCTGACAAAGATGCAGAGCTTTGAAAGTGACCTTTTAAGAGGTTTTACAATGCTGCCTGATGAAGTAAATAATTATCACTGAGGCAGGTTCCAATGCTCTTACTCCTGTTGATAGTACTACAGAACCAGTTGAGGCTACCTCTGAAGCCAAGGGACTTTTGAGACTGGCTTCAATTGGATCAGGTTGGGACCTTATTCTACAAAAGGCTCCACTTAAGTTAGTGGAGCCAGAACCACAGTTGGGGTAAACTACTACTCAGTGAGAGAAGGGTAACAGAACCTGGCCTTATTTGTTGAAAGTCCACAACGAGACTCATTGCTGGACAGAACAAGGAGGAGATACAGAGGAATTTACAATCTCAGAGCCAGTTCATGTCACCCTCACCTACTCTGAGTTGTTAGGAACTTACTCTGCAAGAAACGCCTTATGAAAACAAAATCGGTAAGGTATGTACTTTCAGGGTTCAAATTTTATGAGGTAAATTACCAAAATCAGGCTACAGGGACAGTCCAAAAGCCATAATGTGATTATTTTTAGTCATTCCTACAGCACTGTTAACCCCTTGTTCACATCAGTTACTGCAAAACTTTATTTTGTGATGCACTTTGCTTTAATCTACAGGTCTTATAAAAGCAAACGCAAGGCCACTCCTATAGCTAATTTTCCCCTTCCAGTCTTGCAAGAGGAGAGAACATCCTGATAAATAGCAGCTCTGTGTATCTTCCTGGTTTGCCCACTGTCTTTTTGAACAAGCCCCTTCTGTGTCTCCTGGTAACAATACATGCCTCCTGGTAATTACCTCCAATGTATGGGTATGGAGAAGTGCACAAGCAATTAACAATCTGCCACTGCTTAGAGCCCCTTTCCCACACCAATCCCCTCCACAGTCTTTGATATAGGGGTCCTATATCAGGGGAAAGGTACATTGGAAAATGCCTTATCTCAAAATGAATCAGAGTGAAAAGAGAATGGGAATAGGACCCCAACATTGGGAGAAAATAAACATGTTATCACTATTAGCCCAGAGACAAGGAGTGGAACAATAACTGTTTGCTTTTCCTGATTTCTCTTAGCACCTCCAGTGCTACAGCCTGCACATACAGGACCTTATCCTCCGCTGAAGGACTGGCAATCCTCCAAGGGATGCAAGAGATGCTGTTCAGGGACCAAGCGACTGCATCCCAATAAAGAATTATGAAGGCAGAGGTGTGAAGGGATGGTTTCCTGTAGTGTTCACAAAAGATCAGACTGGAATGCACAGCCCAGGAAAGGGACCTGATGCAGAGCAAGACAACTGTATTGGAGCACATCCCTGACTATTTCCCTAATCGGTTGGGGCATTTTGCAGCCGTGCCCTCTCCAGCTGTCCATAACATTCAGAAAGTCTCTCCACCTCCTCCTCCCATCCCCTCAGTGAAGCTCTCTCCCTTGTGCTTACAGATGCGCAAAATTCAGTGGCCGCTATCACAAGAGGCACATCATCCAACTGTGTCATGAGACACCTCCACCTTCCCTTCAGTCTTTCGCACTCTGCTCTCATTGGACAGCCACTCACAAGCTAGCTGGTACCAGCCTCTTTCTAGGAGTGGTGGTGGTTGTGCTGAGTGGGCCTTAGGTTCTCCTCCCCATGAGGTGCTATCCCCTGCTTCTCTTCTCCCACCCAAGACCCTGCCCCCTAGCCAGGCTGAAAGCTGGAGATGGGCATTAGTAAGAGCCACCTGGGGATCCTGGGCAGCTGTGGGGAGCCCTGGACTCTCTACCTGCCCTGGGTTATGCACCCTGGGGACGGGGACATGGGACAAGGGGTGCTTTTAGGCATCCCACCCAAGGCACATGAAGGAACCAGAGTTCCCTACAGAAGCCTGGGCTGCCTGAAAAGCTACAGCTTCCAGCCCAGCCAGGGGGTGCGGCCATGGGGGAAATGCAGGGCAGGGCTCCTGCATGAGTCCCGCTTTGCCTGTGGAAAAGGTGATCCCCCTAACGCTCAGAAGTGTGTCCTTTACCATGCTGCCTTACAGCAATTCTAAAAGGGAATCATGGGAATTTTTTACTTTGACCCCTCCTGGTCCCAGAATCCCTTTGGGTTCCAGTAGGCATCACATATTGCACAGCAAGAAAAATCTCAGCATGTGTATAGTGCCAAATGGCACCATCAGATATCTACCTAGAATGCTGCATAGTTAATTTGAAAGGAAAGCACATTAAACTAGCATAACAGAGTGGAAGGTGGATGCATATCACTTCAATATAGTTAATTTGGTGCACTTAGATCGAACAAGGTAATCTGAATTAATACACACACTTCCTCAGGGAAAATACATGTACAACCTTTCACTAAAAATATATCTGATTTTCACAACACGCCAGCTTTACTCAGACGCAGAAAAATAAAATCCAGACACAGTACAAGGTACTTGGCTCACAGGATAACACGACCAGCATCAGAAACTATAACAATCTGTAGGATAAAAATTTCTGAGGCAGGCTATGATATTCTGTTAAGAACCCCTATTCTAAATTTGGAGTCTGGGACTGGCACACACACACAGTACATGATGGCAACCCCCTCTTCCCCTCCACGCACCTAGCCCAGGATGGGAGACAGGACAAACCCTCCTTCCCCCCCATGCACCTAGCCCAGGATGGGAGACAGGACAAGACACATTCAATGGTGCTAGGAACAAATGTGCCATTGTCAAGTACTCCTAATGTCTCTGCTTTAATCCCCAGATGGACCACATCAGTGCAGAGACGCCATCTTGAAGCTGACAGACATCACCACTGAACACATAATTGATGTCTGCTTTGTTAAAATACTTGTTTTACTGGAAACACTATGTAACTTTATATTATTGCTCTTATTTTGCCTCACAATTAGCACCTATTCAGGGATCCAGGATCTGACTCCCCCCGCCCCATCACTTTGATCTGCCCATTGAGCATCCTATATAATTAGTTGTAACCTACTGTTTGGCAGTGTTCACTGAGCCTAGCAGGTGTATGTGACACTCCGCCAGTGCTGTGTGTGTCAAACTCTCCTGCTTGCTTCACATATGGTGTCCAGATTCTGTTCCTTCAAATCCAACTCTGCTCAGGAGGGTTGGGGGAAAGACTATCTCAGCTTTCAAGGGAACACATCCTGGCTCTACTGAGCCAAAAACCCACTGGCAAAACACACAGAAAATAAACCCCCGTGGGAAGGCACTGGAAACCACACACTGAATCTGACTGCAGAGAAACAGCAAGAGAAACTGTGTTCTACAGATGTGCAGTCAAGAGAAAAAATGTCCAATTCAATTCAGCTGAAAGCAGCTGAGAATGTCATCCACAAAAGCCAGCATGCCAGGGGCTCCTTGCCTATGCTAGCTAATGTGTGCTAAGCCCTGCCCCTCTCTCAGAGAGAGGCACCCTCCGCTGCTTGGGACTCTCAGCCACACATCCTCTCGGTGCCAGGCAGCGACACTATTTTAGCAAGGAGGAAAAGCCTCATCACTTGTAACCCAGTAGCTATAATATTCACCAAGATGTGGGAGCCTCTCGGTTCAACGCCCCCCTCCGCCTGATGGGGAGAAAGGCCTTGAACTGTGGTCACCCACTTCTCAGGTGCGTGCTTCAATCACTGGGCTATGGGATATTCTGGTGCAGGGCTTCCTCAGCCTCTCCTGTTGAAGCTCTTGCACTGTGGAAGTCCAGCCCTTCCTCTCTCTCTCTCTGACATCTTGTGCAGACTTCTCATGCTTATCAGACCAGGCTTTCCAGGTGAGCTACGGGATGGAAAGCCTCCCCTCCAGTTTATGCATCCCTCTGGGTCATCTGGCATGTGACCACAGTGCACGTGCTCAGAGCAGAGACACAGGAGCGGAAAGAATTTTACTGCAAAAATGTAGGCACTGATCAAGTTTAGGTGCCTACATGGGTTAGGAGCATCTGAGCAGGAGTTTTGTGAATCCCACTGGGGCCTGGTTCTGGGATTTAGGAGCCTAAATCCTTTGGTGAATCTAGAGCCTCATCTCTCTGCCTCAGGCCTGGTCTGTAAGAACATAAGAACGGCCGTACTGGGTCAGACCAAAGGTCCAACTAGCCCAATAGCCTGTCTACCAACAGTAGCCAGTGGCAGGGGGCCGAATGATCAAGCGATTTGTCTCATGCCATCCCTCTCCAGTCTCTGACAAACAGAGGCCACAGACACCGTTTCTATCCCCTGGCTAATAGCCTTTTATGGACCCAACCTCCATGAAATTATCTAGCTTCTCTTTAAACTCTATTATAGTCCTAGCCTTCACAGCCTCCTCTGGCAAGGAGTTCCACAGGTTGACTATGCGCTTTGTGAAGAACTTTATTTTATTAGTTTTAAACCTGCTACCCATTAATTCCATTTGGTGTTCTCTAGTTCTTCTATTATGGGAACTAATATATAACTTTTCTTTATCTGCCCTCTCCACACCACTCAGGATTCTATACTACAGGGTTAGATCAACATAAGCTGCCTTGCATCACCCTCGC